AAAAAAAAAAAGTCATTTATTTAAAAATGCTTTGCATTTTAGCTGTAGTGCCGTACAATTGAATGTTGATGTCCAGTAATGTAGCACTGTCCACCAGCTATAACTCAAAAGTGAGATGCAGAGCTGCAAAGCTGTCACTCTTGCCAGACATGGTGTGTAAGAGACAGGCACCCCAGGGGGTTTGCCACTTTGAGCACAAAGAGGATGTAACATAGGCCAGCAGGTGAGCACTAATCACTGTTAGCCTAGGTCACAAGCAGGCCTTCTATAATTACTGGACATTAGTAAACGGATGTAAGCTAAACACGTAAAAGAGTTTTAAGTCATGACCTTTACTTAATTCTTTGTTTCTTTTTTAGACACTATTTTGGCATCTTTTTCAGTCTAAAGTATGTATGGTTAATGGGAAATGTAATAGGATTAGTAGGATTCAGTAGATGAAGTAGCTAACTTGTCAGTAATTTGTCACGATTATTAATTGATTTTATTAACAGAAATACTTTTTATTGAACTTTCATGTAAATGTAACTCTGCTTTCACATCCTTGTGCTAATTTCCTGCTAATGTACAAATCTTTGCATCAAAATTCACTGTTTGTCTTAGAAGAAAATCACAATTTAAAAAAAAAACTTAAAACAGTTAAATCAACAGGGTTTTACTTTTACATTATGCTACATTCCTTTTAGTTACAACTTAATGAAATGAAGGTGTTGAAATAGGGTGTCCTAAATACCATCACTTAGAAGCCAATACAGACTTTTTCTCTAGTCACTGTACCTGCATGACAGATGTGAATGAAACTTGTTACAAAGTACATGACAGGTGTGAGATTCATACAATACAGGTATTTTCAATTTGAAAAAATAACCCTGTGTAGGGACAACATCTTTTTCATTACTCACTGTCTGTACTGGACAAATGTTTGGTGTTTGCGTTGGTGATTTTGGTGCGCCTTTGTGATCTGGACAAATATGCGGACGTGTTGCACAGGCTCACTTTGTTGACGACCTCTGAGTTGGTGTTGGGAGATTCACATCAGCAGCCATTGCATTCTTTTCCTTGGCCTTCATGTATTAGTCATGCTAGAGTTAGTGGTGCGTGTTCAGGTGGCTGAATGAGTTACTTCTGTTGCTTTGCAGCACAGACACAAGTGAGCACTCTTTGCGTATGATTTCATCTTGGTTATAATGTTGTGCTAAATTCAATGTGTTTCTAAACAACAGATGATGATCTTCAGCTTCTACTGTGTCAGACATTAGAAATTTGCAGTGTTTTAACATACTGTTCCTTGTTGAAGAAACTTTATGCTGTGCGGTGCAGCAAAAAGCTGTAATTGACAAATGGTCAGGTGCTAATTTAAGGTGTACTTGATTTGCTTTACTTTGGTACAGCACGCATTTCCAGTATTGTCTGATGAGATTCATGTTATTATGAGAGGCTAAAAATCTTGTATCTCATTCCTGGCTGAATAAAGGATGCATGGAAAAACAAAAACCCTTCCACATTGCAGTTTTAAAGAACATTTTTGCCATCATTTAGTGAGTTATTTGTTTAGCAATGCTCCACTTCTTCACAAAGCTTACCTTAAATAATCAGCCTAGTAAATTTGTTTTGTATAATTTTGTGGACAAACAAAACAACACTTAAACTATAGCTGTAATTACTAGACCTAGGAAATGAAATAAGCTGTACTTAAAAGCCTTTTTTCGTCCTGTTGCTAACCATCACTCTTAATGTTTTAAACAGATTTCCTGTCTGAGCTGGGTCTAGAGGGGGGTGAGGATGACCAGAGTTCATGGAGCTCTGAGGTACAGTAAAGATAAAGTTTTAAATGACATGCAGGATCCAATGTTTGCCAACCTGATTCTCACAGACCAGCCGCAATTTTCAGTCCCACTCAGAAAACCTGAATGTTGACGAGCAGAAACGAGGATTAAATAGTCAGAATGAAGGAGAGAAAGAAGAGATTAAAATGAGTAAGTCTACTTTGTAAATTCCTTTATTTGTTTTGGATTTTTTTTTTTCATATCATTCCAAGCACCATTTCATGCTGCAGAAACAGTGAGACTTAATTTGATCGTAAGTATAGAAAAGTGTTCTTTACTTTGTACATTTTCTCTGTCAGTTCTGGTTCAAGCTTTAACATGATGTGGAATGTGCAGTGCAATATAACTTGTGTCAATCAAAAAGCCTCCAACATTTATTTTTTTTTACGTTTCTTTTGTAGACTTGTTATATGTTCCCTCATTTGTAAGAGGGGATAGAGGCAATAAGATGGCAGTGCTAGAGCCTCGGAGGAGTGTAGGCAGGCCAAGAGTCAGCCAGGGAGGGGGTATGAATATCTTGATTTATAGGTCAGAGGATCAGCATGCAAACCATACCAGAGGCCTGAACTTCACCTCATGATCACAATAATAGAATGCATGCAGTATACTGTACTTCATCCTGCCTGCTGTCCATAAACCTTATTTTGCCAGATTAAGTGGCCCCCAGGGTTGCACTAAGCTTGCTTGTTTTCCACAAGATTTTGGCTTAAATGTTATTCATATTGGCTGATGCTGAACTTGTTACCCAATGAAACACTGCTGGGAGTTGAAATGCTTTTCTAAAGGCTAAGCATGTGTGTTCATACTAATTAACAATGAGCTCATTTGCATGGGAATGCTTTTTACAGAGTTCTGAAAAACTCATCCAGCTTCATCAATGTTGTTTGATTTTTCATAGACGTTGTGTTTTGGCAAATGTAAGTAAGTCATCTTGCCTCTTACAGTTGCCAGCAGCAGTAATGACAATCTTGAAGGTGAACCTGCCGATCAGTACAATAAAGTACAGAAAGAGGTAGGTTAAGCATTTTATTTTATAAAAAATAATATTATCTGTAATTCAGTTAAGTAAAATAATAATATTTTCCCTTTGTACTAGACCGAGAGGGCAAAGTGGGTACCAACTAATGTTTTGAGGAAGCCTGAAGGCGATGTCAGCCGAAAGACAGGTGAATTTATTCAAAATCAAATGAAATAATTTGTTACTGTGAAAACCTTTTTGATTTTTAACACCATGCTTTGCTCCGCTTTTCTAGATTTAATGGAAGAGCTTGATCTGGGTGATGTTGATGATCTGGAAGGTAAGCTGTAACAAGGATTTTTAGATTATACATTGTAGAGTTTGCTGAAAACGAAATAGTGTAATATGGAAAGCAAAGGTTCCATGGATCATAAAAGCAATAACTGGACTCAAGTTACAGTAACACATTTTTAGAACATTCTTGCATCAATTCCTAAGATTTTGCTCCCTTTTCTCACTCCAGGCTCTCTCCTTTTTCTCCCATCTCTATCTGAGAGAACCATATAACTCAAGCATAGCATCAAAAAACCTTGTCCCACCAAATCTGTAACCATTTGCATCATTACATATATGCTGCCTGCAGTTGTGCTGCACACCATCAGAAACTTTTTTTTTTTTTTAGGCTTGTGTTTAATACTGAGTTTTCTATCTTTTATTTTTCTCATTAAACCTTTTTAAGCTCAAAAAGCAGGTCAGTAAAGATAAATTAAGAAACTAACAGTTTTGTAGCTGTGATTTCTTCCCTGAGACCCCAGTAGTAGTTTGGTAGTGTAACAGCCCACCTCTGATCTTTTCCATTGCTGTGCATCAGTGTTCTCCCACTGTAAACTCTAGTCTTCAGCAACAGATTAGGCTCATTTGGTTGAACTGATATAAAGCTTCCTGCATTAATTTGACAGATGCATCGGACTGGGATTCAGCCAGTACTGCCAGTATGGGAGCCCAGTGTGGTCACGGGGTTGCGTCCCCTGTAGTTGAGAAAATTCCAGAGTGCTCCAGTTCATCTGATAAGGACCAGGACAAAGATGATGTTGCCACAGCAGCACTGACGCATCAGAAGGGCATCAGCCCAGACGAGAGACTGCCCAGCACACCCTCTCAAGCTGTTCCTCAGCCCCAACCTCGTACGCGGAAGACGGTCCCTCAGAAACTAGAGAGTGAAGAAGGTAACGCATAGCAAGAACTTTGATGTTCTTTCTTAAACATTGACTTGTTGTTGTTATTATTATGATGATTATTATTGTCATCTTTATTATTCACATGAATAACAATGATTAAAAAAGATATATTCCTAACCTATTCTTGGCGGTTTTCCTCTTTTATTCGTTCTAATTCAGAATCTGATTGGGAAACCGAAAACATAACATCTCGCGAAACAGCTGAAAATGACAATCCACTACAAAATATGGCTGAGCCTCAAGCAACGGTTAAACCAAGTAAGGTTCTTTGATCTTTTTAGCGTTACCTTTTTATGAACTTGTGGCCTTTGCTTTGTCTGATGTCTCTGTTTCTTTATTAGGGTCTGCTGACCCCTCACTGATGGAGAAAGACAGTGAAATCATCACAGAATTTGAAGAGCAGCAACAAAAGGTGAGAAATAGTGGTAAAATGGCCATCCCTACTAATGATTGATTATTTTTGTTTCAGACATGGAAAATAAAACGTACCAAGGCATTCCTAATCAAAGGAATAAACAGCGCAAAATGATATGTTCTGGTAAATTTGTTCACACATATTTATGACATTGCTTCATCATTAGATCATTTGTAATTCTGGTAGACAAAATAAATATGTTAACACCATTGGGCTAACCTCAAATTAACCTCAAAATTACATCATGATATTTCAAGAAAAATCTAAATATTTTTTAAACCAAAATTAATGTTTTATTGAGGTTTGCAGCATTTATAAGTGTAAGTCAATAAAGAGCATTTTCCATTCTTTTTATTTTATTTTATTTTTTATTTATTTTTTAACTGTAGATAACACTGTGGATCTGTTGAATGAAGTTGCCAGCCGCAACAGCGTTATAGTGACACAGTATCATATCCAGTGACACAGCATAAATGTAATGTACAAAAGTAGTCTAGGTAGTGTTTTCCCTGGACATGTTGGGTAAAAGTACAAAAAACTTGTATTACCTTGTACCTCATCAAGAGCTGCTCAGTATTGTCACATTTTGGGTCAAATTTTTTAAGCAGCTGCTTAAAGCCCTCAATTTCCTCCATGTAACCACATCTGGCATTTCAATCAATTTGCCTCTTGCCACATGGAGTGTATCTACTGAGTTCTCCATCAGTACTTGCTGGAGTCTTTGTTTACACTCCATCAGCTGCTGGTATCTATTCCTTTGTGGTGCGTTTTTGCCTCATGTTGAAAAACAAGTTGTTTCTACATTTAGCAGCAGCAGTTTAAAAAAGTATAAGTGCTATGTTTTTTCAGAGGTTGTTGAAGTATCTCCCACATGCAGCTGTTTCTCTATAGCTACACTAGGGAACATAAATGTATGATGCTATTGCAATGATATGCAAAATGACATTTTTATATCACATAAAAACATACTGGAATTATCATGGACAAATAAAATTACACAACCCCAAAAATGGAATTTATCCTATACTCTAAAGAAAGACCACTGCCTCTTTCAAGCTTGCAGGTGGCACACACATTATTTTGTCTGACATCCTGATTTGAGCTGCTGATTCTATTTGACTGCATATGGTTTCCTGACAGCTTTACTGTGTTTACTACTGGCATGTTTACCATGCCAGAAATCACTTATTTCAGTTTTAGAGTCTAAAAAGAAAAGGGTCAGTCAAGATATCAAGTATGTTATTTAATAATCCTGTAAACATGAGTATTTTCTATGATGAAAATATAGGAAGAAGAATGAGAATGCACTGTTGCCTGAATATTTTCTCGAATATTTTATCAAGTCTCGGTTTTTGCATTTTTGTCTTGTCTGTTCTTTGTTTTATGTCCACTCATGCCATCAAAGGAGAAAGATGATGCAGTAGATAGAAGTGAGTTAGAGCTAAATAAATCTGACAATAGAAAAAAGGATAACGAGTTTAGAGATCAGTGCAGTGCTGGAGAAAGCGGTGGCGTGCCATGGGAAAAACGTTATGAGAAGCTCTGGGTAGAGGTGGAGAAAAGAGAGGTAAAGTCCACCTTCAAGAGTGTCGCTGGTGAATTAAAAGAAAAGTTTGGAGAACTGTTTAAATCAAGACATGACATCAGAGAAGAACAGGCCACAGCTGGCTCCGCCTCTGCAGAAGAAGATTCAAGTGATGAAGAAGATGGGGAAGTCATTGAGCGTCCTACTGCGAGAGCAAGAAGCACTCCCCTTATCACCATAGCTGAGCAGAGAGAGTCTGGACCAGAGGACTCTGCAGCTGAATCGAACGTAAACTCCTTATGCGAGGACAGGATGAAGGAGCAACCAGCTTGTGATGGCACCATCACAAGCCATGCTGATTTACGTCAAACTGAGGAGAATACTGCAAGTTCAGAAGACGATCTCAACGAATTTGGTATAAGTCAGCCTCCCTTCAGACATTCAGCACCCGTTCCCGGTGTTTCTGGTGAAGAGTTGGAAGAGGACGTGGAAAAGTTTAAACTTGAGGTAGGGATGCTGAAGGTTGTCTTCCTCGATATGGAGAAAGAAAAAGCCCAACTTCAGAAAGAGGTAGAAGATGGCCGCCCCATCCGTAGTTCCTTTTGTCTGCCTCGCTTTCTCTTTTTCTCATGTCATTCATATACTTCATTTCCTTCTTTTACTCACCTGTTTCCAAGGGCTCAAAGTGGCCGTTCATCGTAGGTGTGTGTGCGTATGTGTTTGGGGGGGCTGTAAGATTTTCCATGTCATATATGTTGTCTGTAGATCTCATTTCAAGTAGAAGTGAGGTTGCATGTTTCTCAATGAATATTTGTGTCTTTAACACACCTTAAAAAAGGTAGAATTGTTTGAAATTCATTTTCAGTACACCCACCCATCTGGTACCATTTTGTCGATTGTCCTTCTTGATTGCACTTTGACATTACACAAAGGGCAGTCTTGTGTTTTCTTTTGTCATGTCTAGCTTTCTGCTTTGCATGAGTTTTGCATGTATTGTTACATCGGTGTTGTATGAATTCTCTGTTTTTAGGTTTTGTATGAGGTTTGAATAAATAGAGACCTTCTTGGCTCTAAAAAGAATCACCATAGTGATGATATAAATGTGTTGTTGTTTATTGTCTTTTTATGCATGCAATGCTTCAGTTTTTCTTTGTGCTTGTCTTTATTAAGAGGTATGAGGATTGTATTTTGGTCAGCCTTTTGAGTTATTTGCTGTTTTTCTGTGGAAACTGATATGAACTTTAACTCTTTATTTAAAGTTGATGACATTTTCTCATTTTAGTTTCCAAGCATTGCAGTACATGGAAAATATGTCCTTATAATTACATTAAAGGTGTTAGGTCTCCAAAGGGAAGGGTGGCACTAAATTATGTATGACAAAATGAACAAGTACCAACTCCAAAATGCATCTTAAAAGGCTGGACCAAACCTGTTACAGTTAGAGTAAATGTCTAAAGGCCAGCTATCAAATATTTACTTTTTCCCTCAGATTGGAGAAGGGAGAACAGAAATCGAGGTTGAGGTACAAAAATCAAGTACTTCCCAGGTTACTAGTGGAATAGCATTGGAGGAAACTGGTATGGGGAAACCTGAGACCAGCTTAGGATGCATGTCAAATCAAGCTGAAGCACTTGACCAGGAGCAGCAGCCCGAGGCCGCCATGAGGTATGTGCAGTTTTGCTTTGTAGATTCACAGTTATCGTCAGTAGATGTTAACGATTGCTCCCTTTATTTCAAAGCAATACGTGCACAATCCTCTAATCAGATGTTGGGCTTTTGATATATTTTTTTTTCTTCTAGCATAGAGAGTCCAGTTTTAAGTTGTTTTTGTTTTGTGATGTCTCAAAGGTTTTTTTTCTTTTCTTTTCCATTAAAAATTGATACATTGTTGCATTTAAAAAGCCACATGTCGCTGATTATCAGATTTATTGCTCTCTGTAGCACCAACAGGGCTCCAGTGCAATTGCATCTCCCAGTCCAGCTAACCTGCATTAGCAACAAACAAGAGAAGCAAGCTGTAGTGGAGACTTTACAGTCAGAGTTGGTCCGAGGGGCCCGGGGCAGCAGAGCCCCTCAGACCAACACACATATTAATGGAGATCCTCTCTGTGTGTTTGACGATGGCACTTTAAGTGAAGTGTCGGATGATGAAGGAAGGTATATATACAGTATGCCCTCATATGTATCAGTTCTACCTCTCTGTCACTAACCCGTAAGGTATGTTCAGACTGAACGCAAAATAAATTATATACGCAGCACAAATCTGTATATAGCCAGAGGAAAGTATTGAATAGGTGTGATATGTCAAATATTCAGTCTAGGTGCAGAAACTGAAGATTCTTTGGATAGTTTTTGTAAAACTTGCACTACTTAATATAATAAACCTTGTATATTTGTACATTTTATACAAGAAACATAAAAATAAAAAGGAGAGGCACGTTATTTATTAGGCACGTTATAAGATCATGTTTGAGCATTAATGATTTGTTAGAAATAAACCCAGATAATTTTGTATCACTGAAGTGGTAAAATTTGCTTGAATAAAAAAAACCCAGGTGACAAACATTTTGCCTTAAGTCTGAACAAAGCTTTACAATGTTGGATCTTACTGATGATTAGCATGCATTTGTTCTTTATTCTTTTCACTCTTTAAACTAACTGCTACCTTCCTATTACTGGATCGTATACTGCATTATACCAAATACACTTCCAATAACTTGTCTCAGAATTAAGGAACATCCACATTATTTTTCTGAATGACATGATTTTCTTCTTCTTTGCGTTGCTTCGCTCAGTTTGGCAGCCAGTGGACCAAAGAACGATAAGGTAAGACACCAGTTCATACCTTGAAATGAAAGTTTGAACACAGTGAACAGAAAATGAGTAATGTTAATGTTACTTATTGTTTTGATATTCAGGACCGTGAAGAGTTGGGAATGGCAGAAGATTTTGATGAACTCACTCAGTCCTCAGACACAGCCACAGATGATGCTGATTCACCCGCTACAGGCTACAGTCACGCCTCCCTCCTCATTAAGAAACTGGACTCAGCAACTTTGGGTACCGATTCACCTTTTTCCACACATAAGTTAACTAATAAGTCTTGCTTTTTAGGAGTTTGTGACACAAGTTGTTTATATGTAACCTACCTTTGAAAGCAAGACCTTCTGTGTGCCGTGAACATAATGAAACTCCCATCCAGCCTCCATCTGCTGTGTGTCACAGACTCAACATGTGTAGTGAAGCTGCAGAACATTTTCCATGAATATGAGCGCTCCATCAAGAAGGGAAAGGATCGGCATAAGTACTTGACTGATAAAGTGGTCCTGCTGGAAACTGAGAGACGAGACTTGAAGAGCTCTTTGGAGGACATTAAAGATGCCAAGTCTGCCATGGAGCGGGTGCAGTTGGAATTACAGACTGAAGTTACAAATCTCAAGTAATAAATAAGTCCATTTATTTTATTTTATTTATTTTCAAAAAACTGGAGCACTCTGTAGCCATTGCTTTACAGCTTCCTATCTACTGTTTTGCCCCTTTTAGCTTTTCAGAATAAATTTAGACTCAATTAATTGGTCAGTGCTAGGGGTGGGTTTTGATAATCGATTTTCTGATTTAAAATCGATTTTAGCTTAAATAACGCGATATCAATTCATTAAATCTGAATCTTTTTTAAATATAAATGTATTTTCCCCGACACTCAGACTCTCAGGTTAAACCTCACAAAACTATGTCAACAACCACCAAACAGCTGAAACAGTAAATGAGAGCAGGAAAACAGAATCTGCAAAAAGATACAAAGCGCGCACCCAACGCATCAAAACCAGTGAGATGTCAGCTTTCTCACCTGACGGGACGCACCGTACACAGACATGCCGTCGGTGCTGGACGCCGACATCTGACAGATTCTGATGCTGCAGGTTTTGTCGCTCTTCAACTAAAATTCACTGAACCAGCAGCAAAAGAAGCAAAACTACGCTTCACATTTCGCTTCACGTAAACATCGTCATCAGTTCCCTCTTACTTTTGCTGTTTTGGCACAGCTCTTTCTCTCTCTGTGTAATTTAAGAACAGTTTACCATCTCAAATTTTTGTTTTCTGCATTATTCGCTTGCTTTTTACCCACCAGTCTACTGTTGTTTACAGCGCTGTCAGCCGCAGTTGTTTTTTTAATTAATTAATTTATTTAAATGACTTCTGATAAGACTGTCTGAGGCAAAATTGAATCGAATCGTGGACTGAATCGGGACCTTGTGAATCAGAATCGAATCGATTCTAGAAATCACTAAGGATACCCAGTCCTAGTCAGTGCCATCTCAGCTCATGGGGTTGCTGACAGGGAAACAAACCCCCCACATACACACCTTTTTCCATCCAGATAATCACCTACAGAAAAATATAAATCACCTTCATTGGCATGTAAAGAAGCATTTTAATAAACTTTCGTAAACGTCCAATGTAAAGTTAAAAAAAACAAACAAGCACAATAACAAAACAAAAACAAAACAAAAACTGGTGTTGAGGCAATATTGTACCACAATTGAATTGTATAAGGCACACAAGGCAGGCGGGGTTCAAAGTCAGGATCAGGTTGTATACTACATGCTAAGGGTGAACTTCAGCAGGTAGTCTTGACCATAGAACAACATGAACAGCTTTGTCGATCTTTTTAATGTTCTTACTGTTTATTTTGATAATGCTGACTTGAACTTTATGACTGACACATTGTGCAGATTTCAGCTGAAACAAGAACAGGAGAATCACCGCCACACCACCATGAAGTACAGTACCGCTGCCGATAAGATGAGGAGGATGGATGAGGAACATCAGAAAGAAATTCAGGAAATGCAGAAGGTGCACATGAACCTCGAGCTAGAGATTAAAAGACTCATTAACAACATGAAACAGGTACATTTCTTAAATTCCTTTTTTTTTTTTTTTGTGAAAGTAAAACTGTGAAAATGTGTTTTTTATCTCATTATAATTATTGTATTGTATTTACTACCGTTGTCATTGTATTAACTGTTTAAGCCATAATTCAATCATGTGAAAAAAAAAAAAAGTACACTGTTTCAGGTTTGACATATCAGGATATAGCAAACATGAATTTGTCTTTACAAGGTTTTAAAATTAGTATTAAATATCTAATTAAAAAACAAAACATGACATATTGCACCATATTATTATTTATTTAGGCGGTAAATTGTGAGCGGTAGTTCGTAGTATTTCTTTTGTTTTAGTTTTGTTTCAGATCTACTTTTATTTTCAAATGATTATGGAATTTGCATGGTATTATTTTTAATACTAATTAATAACATTTTTTTTTTAAATTAATGTTGATGTAATAATGACTTTCAGTATTTTACGTTATTGGTGTATTTATTTATTGTCTAACATGTCATCTGTCTAGCTTGAACAGGCCCACAATGAGACGCAGAGACTGCTGGCTCAGGAGCGCAGTGCACGCACCCTTCAGGAGAATCTTCTGAGCAGCCATCTGAGGAAGAACCAAGAGATAGAGGAGGAAAACAAAAGAAACATGATCAAAAGCAGTGAAGTAATCATCATTTTAGAACTTTTTTTGTTGCCTTTAAGTTTTGAAAATTTAGTTTAAATGTCTTAAGGATTTAAAAAAATTTCAATGTTTAATACATTTGGAAATCCTGACGTCCACAGGTCTTATCTCAGCTCACTGAAGCCAGTGACAGGGAGCGAGAGTTACTGCAGCAGACTGCTTCCTTACAGGAGCAGCTCACCCTCCTGAGGACAGACTTTGAGCGTTTGCAGACTCAAAGCAGTCTGAACGAGAGCCATCTTATAGAGGCGAGGGAGATACTGAAAGAAGAGCTTGAAGAGGTACGACGGGAATCCCAGCTTAACAATGAAACCATGGCCCAAGTTGTGTTCAACTGCAAAAACCAGGTTACAACCCTTAAATCTGAACTGGCAATAACAACGTCCCGTCTAGAAAACGAACGTCAGATTCATGAAAAACTGGAGGAGGAGGTTGAATTGAGTCGTGCTCGTCTGGCTGCAGCTGTAAAGGATGCCGAGCTTTGTCTCGCATCTAAGTCAGAAACTGAGAAGGCTCTGCTCCGGGAGAAAGAGGAACTTCACCGTCTCAAAGACAGATTCACTGGTTAGTTAGACCATCAATATCACCAAGCAACAGAATTTTATAAATCAGATTTTTTTAAAAAACACACATTTAGTCAACTAGGCAAGTATTTTATGCTTTCTGTCAGACTCCTTCTGTTCCTAGAACCATGTGAACCACTCTTATGGCACACCCATTTGCAATAGCAGAATATGAATATGTCAGGTTTTATTTAGAGACAGCTGTTTCAATTAATCTACACCAGTTAGAGGATTCACTCACATGGTATTTTGAATTTGTCTCTTGCATTTATTCCTAAAGGTGAATCAGCCAGTCAGCGTGAGGAAGTCAGTAGCCTGTCCCAGAAGTTGGCCAAGGCAGAGTCCCAATCAAACAGCATGGAAAATGAAGTTCATCGTACCACCATGCAGCTGACGGAGAAGGGCGTACTGCTGGAAGTGCTACAGCGGGAAAAGGACCAGGCAGTCGCTCGTGTCAAGGAGCTAGAAAAGGCTCTGCAGACTCACAGGGAGGAGGTCAGCTGTAACAAAGCACGTCAAGAGGCTACACAAGAGCGGCTAGTTCAAACGCAGAGCGAAGCCATGTTACTAAGACAACAGCTAGAAGAGGCCCAAAACAAAGGTGCTGCAAAGGAGCGTGCTGTGACAGATGCTCAAGAGCGCTTCAGTGACATTTTGTCCAAGCTGCGCTCTGACTGTGAAGAGAGGGTACAGTTACTGGAGGACAGAAATAAGGAGCTCGCCAGTAAGGCGGTGGATCTCCGCGATCAGGTCTACAAGTTGGAGGAAGACAAGAATGAAAGAGAGGTAAGATTGAGAATAAGAAAGATTACCTTACTCCTTCTCCAGAACCACTTTTAGCCTTTCTTCCACATATCAATTAAAGCATCCCTTCAAAACCTCCCTTTCTCTGAATTCTGCGTGCACAGACTAGTCTGAGGCAGCTGCAGCAGGAACTCGCCGACTCACTCAAAAAGTTGTCAATGAGCGAAGCGTCTCTGGAGGTCAACACGCGCTATCGCAATGACCTGGAGGAAGAGAAGACTCGGCTGCTCAAAGACCTGGACAGACTCAAAGGAAAGGTATTAGTGGGAAATGAGGCCAACTCAACTTTGACTTAAATTAGATGGTTTATTATCTATATTTTTAGGGTATAGGGCAATGGTGTGGTGATGCTGATGATGTGGATGCGGTTTCTGTCATGCAGCTGGAGGAAAGTGAGGATGAGTATGTACAGGCAGAGAGACGTATTAACAGCCTGAAGAGCAGTTTGGAAGAAAGGGAAAAGGAACTCTCAACTGCTGCTCAGAAACTCCAGGAGGCGCTGTCTACCTCAGCTGCTTCTGACACCACGATCAAACAGCTGGAGGATGCTGTGCAGAGGTACTTACCAACACATCTTATCCAGATATACATTTGAGTTTTCAGTAGATATCACACATACAAACATTAAATATAACATAGTTGGTATTATAGAACAAGCCAACCTTATCACACATAAATAAATATATATTATAATTTAATTCTATCTGATAGAAGCATCTTCAGCCATATCTTTTATGTCATGTCAGGCTGGAGATTGAGAATGCCAGACTAGAAGCTGCTGCGAAGCAACAGTCCAACAAAATTGATGCACTGCAGAAAGGAGCTCAGGAAGCTGCCGCGGTGAGTAGTCAAAGTCCTGACACACACAGGGTGTTCATAATTTGCCATATCTACTAGTTTTTGCAGTGGATCATTATTGTATTTTAAGGTTTGCAATCTTTTTCCAGCTATCTGGCTGCTCACCTGGAGGAGGGGTTGGTATTGTGGATGTAGACTTAGCTTTTCCTGTGTGGGATCACATTTTATAGTTTCCAAAAAAATATAAGTAATGAAATCAGATTGTATTTGGATGAAGTTTTTTGGTGCTTAATGAGGATTCCTGCTACACCAGGAATCCAAAAATAAGCAAATAGAGAAGAAATATCTTTGGTTTTGTTGAGTTTTTCTTGTTGTCTGAAAAACAAATGCTAATGCAAAATGTTCTCACTTTACTCTGATCTCGGTGTGTGGGGTTTTCCATTCTGTGTATTCTTGGGTTGCATGGTGCATGTTACTTCCTTTAGTTTTCTCCTTTCCAAAATAATGAAGAAAAGTGTAACAGCGTCACCAGAAAACCAAAATTCATCGTTAGTGTCCATTTAAGAAGCTTTTCTCATTTCTGTAGGTTCGAAGTCACTTGGAGGACATGGTTACGAACCTCCAAAGCAGTAAGATGACCTTGGAAGACCAACTGAATAGAGAGGTTGGTGGCATATTCTGTTTCCTCACTATTAAAACAGTTGCTTTCAATTTCTTACTCTAGTCCTCTTTTAAAATCTTTATATACGTACGTACGTACGTACAGGAGCTCCCATCTACAGATTTCCTGTTTAATAGATATATATATTTTTTGTCTTTTTTATTTCTTCAGGTCCAGAAGCAGAGCTTGCTCTCTCACACAGCCCAGGACTCTCGGGCCTTGTGGGAGGAGGAGCTAAAGGGCCGCTCTAAGTTGGGAGTACGATTGGCAGAACTTGAAAAGGAAAAAGGAGAACTGAACAGCCAGGCCAGCAAGCTTACACCTCTGTACACAGCCTAATGTTATGAAAACTGAGATCTAGGACTCGTGAGTTATCTGGCTGTTGTTTGTGTTGCAGATGGAGATCGAAAAGAAGAAAGCCAAGAAAATAGCAGAGCAGAAGAAAGCTGTTGATACTCGTCTGGATCAGGAGATAAAAAGAAACACGGAGCTTCAAAAAGAAATGTACAGGTGACCCCTAACTTTCTCCTCGTGCCCTCCTTACCTTTGGCAGCGCCTTATTGTGCTGTTTAGGTACACCTAGGATCCAGTAGATTGCAGCCTTTCCTTGCTTTTGTGACTGTGGTGCACCAGTGTCTGTATTCGGAGTAAGGATGTGCTTTTTTTTAATTCCCAGACAAAATGTTTGTTTATAACAAGACTTTCTCTTTAACTGATGATTTAGGATTTGTATTTGAGTTTGTATTAGAGCTGGGCGATAGAACGATAACGATATGTATCGCGATATAACTTTTACTCGATAGAGAAATTAAGCTATCGCGATAGACCTCGCCGCTCTTGTCCTCTTAAAATAAAAAAAATAAAAAATAAAAAAAGGTCAGCCAATCCAAACTAAGTAGCGCAGAGCCGAACCAATCACAGCCGCAGCGTCACGTCGCGTGACTTGTTACGTACAGCACAAGTGCCAAGCCGCACGTGTGTTTGTTTGGGAAGCAGCCAGCGTGTAATGGAGGAAATGAGTGTGCCGACTAGAAAAATCAACCGAGCGTGACCGAAGAGAAAACAGATGATGGTTCCAATGCCGGAGAGATTGTCAAACGGAAGAGCCAAAGAAGTTCCGTAGTGTGAAGGTATTTCGGCTATTTCAAGTCTGACAAAAAATAGAGTAGCGTGCACTGTAAATGTGCCGAAAGCAAGTCTGGAAATACAATAAACTGGTGCATGCGTCACACTGTGCGCCACGTTATTGTTTCGGTGAAATGAATTTCTACAATACTGTTACTGTTAATTCTACTCTCTGCAGTGTTTAAATGCTTACATATACACACAGTTACTGTCCCTCCACACTTACGACTCGGTTCTGCTTCTATGCCGCAGCTTTGTTTACTTTTTCCCACCGAGGCTTCTAGACTTCTGATTGGCCAACATTTCTGCACGGTTAGGAATCTAGCGCCACCTGCTGCTTTGGCATGTTCATAGCAGCGTTTTCCTTCATTTCTGCCTTTATGTGTGGACGGGATTATTTTTTAAAACGAAAACGGAAAATCTCCGTTTTCAAAAATACGTGTGGACGTAGCCTCAGTCTCTGACTGGAAGTGCTAATTCGTCATTCGGCTTTTGTCAGACTAAAGTAACTGTTAAAACTGTTTGAAAAGCTAAGCTATACAACAAGGAGAGATTGAGAATTTCCTTTTAGTTCTCAGTTTATTTGATATTGACAAAAGTTAGTCAGTTTTGTCTGTTCTTCTGTAAAACAAACTAAGATTTATTTTTAGAATTAATATTTTGTTTCTAAGTGGAATTTACAATTTAGTCTGTTTCGTTTGTTCTATTTTGAAACTTAAACGCTTTAGCGGCTGCCTTTTGTGTATTTTGCAATATTTGCTTTTATTTATCTGAAAAAGTCTCATGTTCCTTAAGTACATCTACCCTGTTGAACTTATTATGGGAAATAAATATTTAAATAAAAACAAGCTGCTGATTATTTCACATTTTACTTGTGAGCAACGGCACATTTAAATCTGACAAATATAGTTATTTGGCTTATATCGTGATAGATATCGTTATCGCCTGAAATGAAAAAAACATATCGTGATATGAAAAAATCTCATATCGCCCAGCTCTAGTTTGTATTAAACATCTCTGTTTTTTGTGGGATACAGTTACCTTAACTTTGTTGTATGATAACTGGCCTGATTTTTTAAAAAGAAAATCACAACTTAAATGACTTACTAATGAAGTTTATGCTTTAATTGATGTTTGTAGTCATTTTCAGTTTTAGGTCAGATCATTGGATTGGTTTGTTTTGATAAATGCTTTGTCTTTATTTCTCTATGTGAAATTGACTTTGTGTTTATGGATTTAAGGCTGCGAACCTTATTGAAGACTGCAAAAAAGAGAGTGCGCGATCAAGACGCTGGTGGTGCTGAGTTTGGCTCTCCTATGAGCAGCATGCGGATGGATCTGGGCAGACACACTGAGGGGCACTTTGGGCGAATGAAAGACAGGGTTTGTCCATCTGACACAGCAGATTTAAACCTTTCCAGTATTACCCAATATCTTACAGAACATTCTATGGCTCTATCGTCACTCTCCTACAGGTAGCTTTATACATCAGCTGTCAAACATTGGCCTCCTTTATCCTCAGGTGGACGATTTGCAGGTGCAGTTGGAGAAGGAAGCATCTCTTCGCAGACAGCTAGAGAAGGTGAACGAGGAGCTCAAGGATCAGGTGACTTCCTTGAAGAGCATGAGCCACAGTAATGATTTGCTTGAGAGGAGTAAGAGGCAGTTGGAGGAAGAGGTACTGGACCTAAGACGCCGAATGGAGACTGCTCAGGTTGAGCAGAGCCACGTGGAGCAGTACCGGCGCGATGCAGAGGAAAGGGCTCGGCAAGAAGTACAACAGAAGCTGGAGCAGGTTAACCTGTTCCTCCAGGTACCAAGCTACAGCATGCACAACGGGAACACAAATACAAAAACTTAAAATAAATACATTTTAAAAATGAGCATAATACAATTAGAATGAGTGATAATGATAATGTAGCTGGTGTGTGAATGACATATGTACATGGTTTCTGTGATTACTATATGCCTGTCCATTGTATCCAGTTTCCATAAAAAGTGAAACTCTATGCAAATAAAGAATGATGTAGTTATTATTTAATATATATTATTTAATCCAATATTTAATTAAAAATAGTAAAAAGACATGGCCTAGAGATCTGATTTATAATATTTGTTTATGTTTTTGTTCCAGTCCCAGGCTGCATCACAGGAAGCACTCGACCAGATTAAAGCTGCCAATGAAGCTAGCCTGCGCTCTCAGCTGGAGCAGCGAATCCGGGAGCTGGAGGGGGAATTGGGCCGGGCCCGCACTTCCCAGCAGGAGAGCGTTAACCAACGCGAGTCTTCACGCACAGAGCTTGAGAGATTCCGCCAACTATATACAGAAGAACTGCACCTACGCAAGTCTCTGGCTGCTAAATTAGAGAGGTCAGAAGATCTTACCAGATGTTCCATGTGATACTTTCAAAATCAGTGCTTGTGTCTAAAGCTGAATATGTCATTAAATCAGTAGATGCAGTCAGCTGGTGTGATCATGCAGGGAGTTTGAATTTGTTGTTTTCCATCCGCAGGGCCAACAGTCGGCTTGCAGAAGCCAATTCCAAGTTGCTCAATGAGCGCAGCAGGTCACTGATCACAAATGGCAGCCTTGGAGCGCCATCGCTTGACTTTAGCTCTTTGGCTTCACCAGCCAACTATGGAGCCTCACTTGGGCCCCTCAACAGGAATCTTGGTCTGGGATTCTCTCTCCTCAACCCTGTGGCTGAGGGACAGAACAGCAGGGTGGAGGACTACTTAGCCAAGGTCTGCATTAATCATTAATGTGCGCGCTCACTCACTCATGACGATTGCAGGGAATTGTTTTTTTTCTGTAGACTAGTTATCTATATTGAGCCAATTCATTTTCATAGTCATGGCATCCATGGTGTTATTTTGTAACTACCGGCATTCAGAAATGTTGCTTTTTCCCATGTTAGTGTGTTGTTATGTTGTCATAACTGCAGAGAACATCTCTGGCTGTTTAGGTGTTTTATCTCAAGTATTTTAGATTGAGAGAAAACATTCCTATAGATCTAAAGCTATTTTATTTTTTTTCTTTTCTCCTCTTTTCTGTTCTTTTCCTCCTCTTGCACAATTTCTGTCTCTAGCTACTATTAAAGTACTTTACATCTAATCTTCTTTTATTTCTCACTGTTTTAGCTTCTAGCTCAAAAGTCTGTCTCTCACCTCTCCTCTCTTCAACCAGACTCATAATAAGGTGTGTAGATGTGTTTAGCTCAGTCCAGTTGGCTACTGTTTTCCTCTATCTTGCTTATGGGATTACTATGGTTCTTTTTCCTCGCAAACATTAATGTTTGGGATCAGCACAGGGAAAATTGATTAAAAAAAAAAAATCAAATCCACTGAGATTTCTCCATGAATGTCTCTGTCCCTTACCCAGTTATGGGTTATTTGGAAAGGTAAAGGAAAATTAAGGTATTTATAAATACCTTAATATAAAATATGTTATGTTATGTCAAATGTAAGTATTTTTTATAGCATTAAAATAATAAAACAAAAAATATTACCAGGGTAAATGCTTAAATATAAAAATGTGTTGGGGTTTCAAAAATGTGAAGAAAAAAATTACCAAAAAAAAAAAAAAATCATAGAAATCATTTAATTTTACCTGTGAGCTGTGACTGTAGTAAGTCAGTGTGCCAGCAGACATCTTAAACGTCTTTGCTTTCAGTGAACTTTCTCTTTGCTCTTTATTTGTTTAGTAGATTAGAGATAATGTGGCTCTTTGTTTCATACTCGTATAATATTATATGAGTATATTTTGCTTTGAAACCCAAATGATCTGTATTTATCATACAGCACCTTATTCCAAGCATGTGATAAAGGACAGAAACAGCCGATTAAGATACAAAGAATCATAAAGATCATGATCAAATGAATAATCAGTCACTATAAGATGTACCAATTTGTTGTCTGACACAACAACACACTAACAATTGTATTTGCATTCTGAGGAGGTAGGACAGGCATAAATATTACCAGCATATATCCAACCCTGGTCAGTATAAAACAAAGATGTAGCTTCTGGGTCAGAAAAATTAAGCCAATTAAGAAGTGCCTTAAATTCTATCTAAAGGCAACAAGATGGCGATAGCGTGCCGTTTCTCAGTTCCCTCCCTCCTCATCACATTCGTTTTTTGCAAAAAGGATGTCAACAGAAACAATCATGTTGAGAATCCAGTGGTTGGCGTCACAAAAGCTACATCAGTCTTTTTTTTTTAATTTTTTATTTATACGAAGTATGGATACGAGTCCTTAAAGGTTTTATGATATTATTACACAGCACTGCACTTAAAGCACCAGTCACACAGGCACAGACAACAGTTAGTGGCCACCATGGGGAAAATGTTTGCTCTCCAACAGCTTTGAGATGTTAGAGCAGGGGTGTCAAACTCAAATACACAGTGGGCCAAAATTCAAAACTAGAACAAAGTCGCGGGCTAACATTAATATTTATTGAAGATCTAGATATAAAAATGAATCTTGTCTTATGGACTCAAACAGGTTTTGCTGAAAAACTGAATATGGAACAAGCAAGGCTTAATACTAAACGATATATATATATATTAGCTGTATAATACCAGTAGGCCAGCTCTAATAGTAATTTGGTATGGCTTCGCGGGCCAAATGTAATTAGGCTGCGGGCCAAATTTGGCCCGCGGGCCAGAGTTTGACACCTATGTGTTAGAGGATCAGCTGTGTGACTGCGGCTGAAGGTGCAGCTTGCATGGTTGGCATGTTTTGCTGTGTTTCATTTACGTGTACTGACTTTCTTGCAGTGTTTTTCCACTATTTAATGTTTGTAATATTGAATCATTGTGCAAAATGTTATTCATGTGTCTGCTGCTTCTTAAAATGTCTTAATACTTGATGTTAAGACCATATTTATTTTCTAACTACAGCTTTCTCTTTTTTCAGATGCAGAGTGAGTTGGATAGAAGCATAACAAAGGAATTAAACAATGGTGAGCGCTGTGAAACTAGAGAGATGACAAAAGCACAGTGGCATTGTCTCTTATGAACCAGAACCTGCATGTAGATGTAACTGTGATCTGTCTTTGGTCCTCAGCCACAGCAGAGCTGGATGTTGCCTCCGCCCGTATGTCACCTGTGGGATCTCCCAGAAGGGAGTTGGACCCAGTTAGCAGAGCAACGCAACAGTACTTGGAGGTACTGAAGAAGAACAGTATGATCTGACCGTCATCTCGTTTCAATCAGACACCATCTTTCAGCCAATAAAAACACCTGAATGTTGTAAATCTCCTCTCAGTCCTCTTTTATAGAAACATAAATACTGCACATTGCACTTAACACCTCAGGATCAAAGGACGAGTCATATATGTGATAAGATTTATATATCTCAAAGCATGAAAAGTATTTGAAACACAGTTTAGTTTTTATTTTGTTTGTGCATATTTTGGCATTCATACGTGTGTATTTACAAATGTGCTTGTAAGCATGATTAAGATATTTGCCATGATATTACATTTTTGGTACATGCCATCAAATGGTGCAATATCTCTCTTATTTTAGTGCTGTGTTTATTTTTATTTATTCTTTTTCTTTTTTTAATGAACACTATATACTTGAACAAGACAAGCTGGAATACTCTCCGGCTATAGAAACAGGGTCACTGCGCTTCAGCTTTTTGTTGGCTTGTTTTTAAAAGTCACTAAGAGTAAGCTTTTTCCCATTACTTGTATATGTTGTAACAAAGATGGAATAACTAATGTATAGACATCATATTCTGTCTAAAGATGTTCACGTAATATTTTGTAATTGGAGCAACTGTGTAGTATTTTTGTGAACTATAATTAAAAATCCTCCCAATTTACAGTGTTATGAATCATTTCATTCAAATGCTGTCAGACCCTTAAGCAGTATTGCAAATCATTTTCTTTGCTTATGATTCTGAACTGATAATATTTTTGCTTTTTGGGTAGATGCTGTTATAGTATTTTTACAGTGTCTGCATTCAGTGAGTGTAAATATTTATTATAATTTTATTTTATAAATATGTTGTGCAGCTAGTTTTAATCCAGTGATGCAACAATTCACCTTTAGAAATAAATATATATATATAATTTTTTATTTTATTTTATTTTTTTAAACCCTCAAAATCCATCAAATTGACCAGCAAAGACAAATAATATTCAAATATACTGATAAACTTACCTTTAATGTTAACATTTAATATAACAATATTACTTATCACCAAAACTGTCAAATAAGCCTAAATTTGGGTTTTTCTAA